GTTAGTTGTCAACTTGACACAATCTAGGGCCATCTGGGAAGCTTCAACTGAGACTGGCCTGAAGGCAAGTCTGTGAGGCTTTTTTTTTTTTTTTTTTGATTAACGATCAATGAGGGAGAGCGTAGCCCACTGTGGGCAGTACGTATCCCCACTCCCCTCAGTAGGCAGTCTAGGAGGTATTCCTCCATGGCCTCGGCTTTGGTGCTGGCTTTGATTTCCCTCAATGATGGGCTGTGATTTTTTTTTCTTTAATACAGTAGTGTTTATTAATGCAATTATTCTATTAACTGAAGTGTGGCTTTATTTTTTTAATTAAAACCATTCTAATATTTACAAAAGAGGAACCAAAAGACTCCATAATTACTATGCACTGGTATGTAGCATATACTATAATACAGGCACTAGCTAATCTGAAGAAAAGCATAGAACACCTAGAGATGCAAAATGAGTGTTAGATATTTCTTTTTTTTTTTTTTTTTTGGTTTTTCGAGACAGGGTTTCTCTGTGTAGCCCTGGCTGTCCTGGAACTCACTCTGTAGACCAGGCTGGCCTCGAACTCAGAAATCCACCTGTCTCTGCCTCCCAAGTGCTGGGATTAAAGGCGTGCGCCACCACCGCCCAGCTATTTTTTTTTTTTTTTTTTAGATATTTCTAAGCTTATATTTTCATTTTATTTTCAAAGTAGTAAATCCTCCATCACTTCCTTCATTTTTATATAAATATGACCTTCATATTTAATGTCTAAAATCATGTTATTTTCTAACATTTTTTCTTTTTTTTATTTTTAATTTTTTCTCAAATCATAATTAATTCACACAGGGGTATAAACACAGAAAGGCAGGACGTGGGGAAGGGAATGACACTGGAGTGTGGGTGCTCAGGGGGAATACAGATATCTTCAGAACCAGGTATCGGCTGGGTGAAGGTTCAGGGGACAAGTCACCATGACTCTGGATGGGCTGTGATTTTGAAGTATAAGCCAAACAAACTTTTTCCTTCTAAGTTGCTTTGTCATGGTGTTTTATCACAGCAAATAGAAAAGCAAGACACTAGGTAGTGCTGTGTGAGCCACGTTGAGCCTTACAGGGCTAGAAGTGCAGAGGCTCCTCCACCGTGTGCTCTTGCTGAGGCCATTTGAGGTTGAACTGGAATCTAATCTCCTTGACAGAGAATCCCATGAAGACAACCCAACTCTATTCCAAGGTCAGGATGTCCCTAGCTAACTGTATCTTAGTTTCCCTTAAAACTGCCTGTTTGTGCAGGAACCCGTTCCAGCTAATTGTTCATCTCAGCCACTGGTTTGCACGGACTCCAACCTTAAGCTTCTCTTAAAACTACTTGCTTCAAACTGCTTACTCTTTGGGACCCTCTTGCAGCTGCTAAAGGAGATGCCTTGATGAGCCTCTGTTCTTTAAAACCCCATGTTATCGACAGTCCTGAGTCCCTGACACTTGGGTGAAGTCCCAGCCAGCGGGAATAAAGACTTTCAAGTGGCTATAACCTGTCTGAGTGTTTACCTCTGGTGGGCTACCAGAAACAAAAGGAACTTGAACATTTTTTAAAGTTACATCTATTGTATGTCTATGTGTGCACGTGCAGGTATGTTAACATGTGCACATGTGTTAAGGTCAGAAGGCAGCCTGCAGAAATCACTCTACTCTTCCACCATGTGGGTCCTGGGGCTCAAAGTTGGTTGTAAGGCTTCATGGCAAGCCCTTTACCCACCAAGGGTATTGCCAGCCTCTACCCTCCTTTTCTGAGACAGTCTCATGTAGCCTGTGCTGACCTCAAGCTCACCCTGTAGCAGGACAGCCTTGAACTCTTACCACCAAGCCTGGCTTTATGTGGTGCTGGAGATCAAACCCAGAGCTCTGAGCATATGAAGTTAGCACTCTGCTAATTGAGGGAGTTACAGCGCCGGCTCTGCAGGAACTTTTGATAACAGAATATTGACCACTTTCACTCGAGATAAAGTTTGGAGGCAACCTCCCATGCTCTCTGTATTACTTATCTCACTGTTGAAACAAAAACACCTGACAAAGCAGGTGTTAGGAAGGAAGGGACGGAGACACTGGGGGGGGGGTAATCTGTCTCACTTCTGAGACACAGACCACCTTGTCAGAGAAGAGGGACTGATCACATGGCATCCTCAGTCAGGAGGCAGAGAGAGCATTCAACACTGAAGCTCAGCTCACTTCCTCCTCTTACTCAGTACAGGATCTCAGCCCGTGGGATGGGCAGAGCCTGGATTTAGGATGAGTCTTCCCACCTCAACCCAACCTAGAAAATCCTTTATACACATGACCAGGGATTTGTTTTCCTGGTGATTTTTAAATCCCATCAAGCTGACAACTAAGATAAACCATCATGATTTTCCCTAAGAAGAAAAGTTCATTTGTACATGCTCCCCACTATCATATGGTTTTTTCTTAGGCATGGTTACCACAAACCTAGGATGTCCTGGAGCTCAGGGTGGAGTATAGGTTGGCCTCCCATGCTAGGATTTCAGACATGTAGAACTGGCCTGGACAGAGGTCTTCTAAAGGGCATTTTAAGAGCAGGAAATACTCTACTGTGTTCAGCAGTGTACAGGTCGCTGGTGGTGCTGATGAGATTCCATGACTGGAGCTAAGGAAGCAGAGGCAGAGGGTGGGCACAGACCACTGTAACAAGCAAAGATACTGAGCGCCAGGCTGGGGGGGCCACAGGGTAACATCTTAGTTTCGATTTTATCTTGTGTTAAGTTGTGATTCTGGTAGAAAAGACCAGTAGAAATAAATGCAGAAACCAACCATGGTGGTTCTTCCTGCAACCCCAGTACTGAGGAGGCAGAGGCATCATAAGTTCAAGGCCAGCCTAGACTATATAAGACTCTGCCCCAATAAAACAACAACAAAAAGAAGTGCAAAAAGAAATGGCTATAGGAAGAACACAGCAAAATCCTTTCCTCTTCATTTTAAAAAGGTGTTTTCAGCCGGGCAGTGGTGGCGTATACCTTTAATCCCAGTGCTCAGGAGGCGGAGGCAGGTGGATCTCTGTGAGTTCAAGGCCAGCCTGGTCTACAGAGTGAGTTCCAAGACAACCAGAGCAAAAACCTGTCTTGAAAAACAAAAACAAAAAACATATTTCAGGGGCTGAGCAATGGCTCTTGCAGAAGGTCAAGGTTCAAGTCTTACTACCAACATGGCAGCTGGGAACTGTACTCATGTCTAGGGAATCTGATGACCATCTGGTTCTATGGTCCAGGCATGTATGAAGTGCACACATAGGCATGAAGCAAAAAAATCATATAAATAAGTTTGTAAGCCTATGATTACACAAAACTATTTTTTAGTTAATTCTTTTTTGTCTTACTTAATATTTGTCTCTGACAAAGGGGGAACTCTGTAGCTTTTTTTTCCCCTATGAAAACCAGACATTGCTATCAATAGTGTACTCTGAAGATGCCATGTTCAGTGCATTTAGAGAAAAGCCTGGTGGGGGATCTGGCAGGGAAGGGAGAAACAGTGTTGTGGGGGGTGTGTGTTTGCGCGTGCATGAGTCCATCCCCATTACACTGTGAAATGCATATTCCACCTATTTCTTAAAGTTCACTCCCCAACATTACCTTTGTTGCGACTCTACAGAACCACTGGCTGTTCCCCTAAATCAGCAGTTCTCAGACTTCTTAGTGCTTCAACCCTTTCGTACAGCTCCTCATACTGCAGTGACTCCCAACCATAAAATTATTTTCGTTGCTACTCCGTGTAACTGTTAAATTTGCTACTGTTATGAATCATAATGCAAATATTTTTTGAGATAGAGGTTTGCAAAACGGGTGGTGACCCACAGGTTGAGAACGGCTACCCTACATGTTGCCCTTACTAAATGCAGACCATACCTGAGCTGCTCCCTCCTCAGCAACAAACCACTGCAGATAGTCTCTAAAATGCCAGCTCAGGGGCTGGGAATTGTAGCTCTGGTGGCAGCTCCAGTGCCCAGTAATCATGAAATTGGCACTGGACAACAGGGCATGGTAGCACACACTTGTAGTCATAGCATTCGGGAGGCCAGACGATCAGAAGTTGAAGGTTAGGGGCTGGAGAGATGTATTAAGAATGTATTAAGAATGGATATTGCTCTTACAGAGAACACGAGTTTGGCTCAGATGACTCAATTGCTAGCAACTCCAGCTCCAGATCATCTGACACCTTTTCCTCTGGCTTCCAAATTCATCTGCACACATGGGTACAGACCAGCCCACAAACACACATTCATTTACATAACTTCTATAAATAAATTACACTGGTCAAGGTTACCCTCAACTGCACAGCAAGTTCAAGGCCGGCATGTGCTACTTGGATCCCCTCTGAACAAGCATGTAAGTCATCTCCTCCTACAAATTGTCTTACAGACCATCTTTTGGAGAGGCACGCTTTTACCATATACTGTACATTTTACGGCAGCTTCGATTATTACATTTTGTTCGTTTGAGAGAGGGTCTCACTATGCAGCCCTGACTGGCCTGGAACTACCTATAGTAGTTGGAGTCACCAGGCTAACTTCGAACTCTCGGAGATCTGCCTGCCTGCGCCTCTCAGTGCTAGGATTAAAGACGTGCACCACCATGCCTGTTGATTTTTTGTTGTTATTGTTTCTTACTCTCGACTCTTGGCTGACATAGTACACGAACCAGTAGCACACGTTAACGCTAACGGTTCCTGAATGAAATGGCTTGCGTGGCTCTGGAGAGACAGACCACGGGGGTATTCTGGGATACAGAGGGCCGGATGCCACAAGCATAGGTAAGTTACAGAGGTGAAGCAAGCTACCTAAATTCAGAAAACGTCTACAGATGCCTCCACTGGTGGGCCTCCCTTCCCCAGCTCCTGCCACTCCTCTCGCCATCGCCGACGGGTTCCTTGGTGGCTGTCGCGCCGCCTCACGGTGGCTCTCCGCACGGCCAACTCCCGCCCCCTACCCCGTGGTGAGCGGCCCTTCCGCCGCCCCGCGGCTCTCACCTCCGTCCCGGATTCCGCCCTGCGAAAGTCGCTGCACATCGCCCCGCCAGCTCCTCGGGTTCAACCCGCCCGCCTGCAACGCCATTTAGCAAACGCGCGAGACACAGAACCAGTCAGAGCAACGGCCCCGTGTGCGCGTGCGCACAGTGCGGGCTCTTGGCCAAAGAGGCCAGGAGCATGCGCAGTAAAGCTGCGGCGCCCTCTCGGTGACGCCAATCTCATGCGCCTCCTTTAGTCCTTTCCTTCTGTTAGACTTCCCTTTATCGGGCAAAATTAACATGTACCTGATTTATTTGTTTGTTTATTTTTTATTTATTTATTTATTTATTTATTTATTTATTTATTTATTTATTTATTTATTTATTTATTTATTTATTTGAGACGTGCTTCTATGTAGCTCTGGCTGTTCTGGAACTCACTACGTTGACCAGGCTGGCGGCGAACTCACTTGAAATCCACCTGCCTCTGCCTTCTGAGTCCCGGGATTAAAGGCGATCACCACCACTCCTGGTGCTTACTTGTTCTAAAGAAACTTAAAGTAAATCTTCCTACCACGGTTGTGTATGCCTGTGATCCTAGCGCTCAGGAGGCGGAGGCAGGGGAATCACCAAGAGTCGGATCAGGCTATAAGTCTGGGCATGAGATCGTGTCTCAAAAATAGTAGGACAAAAGTTTACTGATTTGGGCTTTTGGTGTGTCAGGTCCCAACAACTCCTGAGGCGGAAGCCATATGATCGTTTGCGCCCAGGAGACTACTCTGGGCAGAGCAGCGGAACCGGATTAAAAAAACTAATACCGTTACAGAGCAAGCACGTCCTTGTGTTCTTTCTTGAGTCAAAAACCTCTGACTGGCTATGTTATTTATAGATAATTGGGGTGGGAAAAGAGAAATATATGTTGAATTGAGACGAACTGTGGAAATACACTGAGCCTGTGAATTTTTTCAAGCTCTTGGTTTGGTTAGGTTGTTTGTTTGCCTTTGTTTTTTTGTTTTGTTTTTCTTAAGTTCTAGAAATAAAAGCCAGGAGCACTCCTCTATGTGATTCTAGGCATCAACACTTCAGTATATGCTAGTTAAACACTCTTGCAGATGAACTACATTCCCTGGCCCATTTTGTTAAGATCTTGGGTGAAGGAAGGAAGGAATGGAGAGTAGATTAATTTTCTATTTCTTTTCAAATGCCCATTGAATAAATAGGTAGAATACTTATATTCTGTATATTTATGAGTACAAATCTTATGTACACAGTACACTTGAATGTCTGTACAAGGCATACTACCACACATCAGATTTGAACTTTTCTAGGAGTATGTCACAGGAAAAATGCCTGATGGAGTTTACAACTTATTAGGTCAGTTACTGGAACTCTCCTGAAAATTCACTTTCCAACAGATTTGTAGGTTGTGTCCTTGTGAAAAAGTGTGAAGTTGGCTCTGTGTCATTTTTCTCTCTCGTCATATTCTAGAAGCTAGAAGCTGTGCAGGTCATTATTTGTGGTGGCTAGTTTATGTCATCTTGATACAAACTAGAATTACCTGAAAGTCAGGTGCTTCCATTGAGGAAATACCTCCATGTCTCTGTCTCTGCCTCTGTCTCCCTCCTGTCTCTCTCTCTCACTCTCTCTCTCTCTCTCTCTCTCTCTTCTGTCTTTCTTTCTTTCTTTCTTTCTTTCTTTCTTTCTTTCTTTCTTTCTTTCTTTCTTTCTTTCTTTTTTAAGACAGGGTTACTCTGTGAGGCCTATTGTCCTGAAACTTGTTTTGTAGACCAGGCTGGCCTCAAACTCAAGAGATTCACCTGTCTCTACCTCCCAACTCGCTAGGATTAAAGACATGCAGCAGCAGCTGCAGCAGCAAGGGCATTTCTTAATCAGTGATTGAAGGGGGAGGGCTCAGCCCATTGTGGGAGGGGCTGTACTTGGTCTGGTGGCTCTGGGTTCTATAAGAAAGCAGGCTGAGCAAGATATGAGGAGCAAACCAGTAAGCAGCACCCCTCCATGGCCTCTGCATCAGCTCCCACCTCCAGGTTCCTGGCCTGCTTGAGTTTCTGCCTTCACTGCTTTTGATGATGAACTATTACCTGGAACTGTGAGTGAAATAAGCCCCCTCCTTCCCCAAGTTGATTTTGGTTCTGGTGTTTTGTCACAGCAGTATAGCCCTAAGATGTGAGACTGCTTTGTAAATGCCAGGTGCTGTTCCAAGTGCGTTATATACACAGATCCACCGACTCCTTAGTCCTGTGGAGTAGTTGCTGTTATTGTACACATTCAGTAGATAACAAGAATGAATACCACTAAAACTCCAGTTACTTTACAGTGATACTGTAATGAGTTGACAGAATAATGCAAAATTTCCAGTAAATACCACATATATAAACAACTGCTTTAAAAAGCCTTGATGCGAAGGAGATATACTTTATAATATACATAAGACCTGGGGAGGTGTGTGTATGTGTGTGTTTACATATTGAAAGTTGAGCATGGTAACACATATATGTAAAACCAGCGTTTGGAAGTTTGAGCAAAAGAACAGGTAAACAAAAACAAAACATCCTGGCTGATATTACCAGACACTTGCTAAAGACTTTTTAATAGGGGGGCAACGAGATGGTTCAGGGCGTAAGGGCACTTGCTGCTGATGTTAATGCCCTGAGTTCTGTAGCCGCCAGCGGCCTCGAGTGGAACGGGTTCACCTGAAAAGAGGGTTGGGAACGAAAGGGGGACGGAGATCGAGAAAAGATGAAGCCAAGACAAAGTTCTCTGATCAAGGTTCAATGCTTTAATGTTAAGCTTTCAATTTAAAGGGAAAAACCCCGCCTGAACCCTTCGTAGTTTCAGCCAGGAGAGATGGGTGGGATAATCCATTCTTGGTCACGGGTCACGGCCGGAGATGTCTCAAGGCAAGCCCAGGGGCAGTTCTTTCAAGTTCCAGTAGTAGGATCTACTTTCGGCCAAGGTAGGTGACTCCACCTAGGTGTCTATTGATATTCAGCCAAGGTGGTTAGTTCCACCTAGGTCCTATTATCTGGTCTATTGTGGTAAACAAGGTCTTTGGTCTGCTCAAGGCTGGAGGAAGGGCACAGAGTTCAATCCCAGGACTCACCTGGGAAAAGGAGAGAACCAATGTCTACACACATGGGCACACAGATAAATGTAAAACATAATTTTAGAAGGAGGGAGGGAAGGAGGGAAAGGGAAGAAAAAGACTTTTTAAAAAAATACCCTAAATTTTCTTTGTATGAGTGTTTGCCTCCATATGTTTCTGCACCACATGTATGCCTGGTGTTTGCAGAGGGCACAAAGGGCACTGGATCCCTGGAGCTAGATCTAGAGATGGCTTACAACAAGTCAACATGTGGGCGCTGGGAATTGAACCCCAGTCCCCTGGAAGAGCAACGTTTAGTCTTAACCACTGAGCCATTTTTCCAGACCTGAAAGAACATTTTTGATCTTTAGTAGTATGCAGAGGAGGGAGTAAGGAACCTAAACAGTTAGGCTAATATAATGTGTGACAGAAGTTATCTCACTAGGGGGACTTCCCACTGGACTTGTACTATTACTTTGTAGAGTGAAAAATTATAGATGCTAGGTATATAGAATCCTTTTTAGACATATAAAATATCCTTTAGGCTTTATAAGGACATGGAAAATTTTCTGAGAAACCAAGCCATGAAGCAAGTTAGGAATGTGGAAAGACCAGTCACCATTACTGGAACTGGCCGACCTGCAAAGAGAAAGGAAAGAATGCAAGTGAACTAGGTGGAACCAAGCTGGGAACCGAAGTGACAGGGTAAGGCCGAAGTAACAGGGCAGGACCACATTCTTGAGAAAGATAAGCGTACAGAGAGTTTTCACATGACCCTGACTCACGTAGGTTGGGTTCCTTTGTAAAGTTCCACTATTTTTATGTTATGCCACCTTAACAACCCCTCATCCCTCTCCCCATTCCTTGGTTTGTGTTTTTTTTCCCCTTAAAAACCCCTCTCAAACTGGCTGTCGGGGTCAATTCAGCTCCTGCATGGGCATACGAATTGACCCGCAGCTAGCTGTCACACACCCTAATAAACCTCGCTATTGCTCCAGTACACTGTGTCTCGAGCAGATTACTGGGTGGTCGCGACTTTCTGAGACTTGAGTGAGGGTCTCCCCTCTGCGGAGGTCTTCAACTTCATATGCATCACACTATCCCTACCAACCACACATCACTTCTCTCTAAGCCGGTGTCAGGACACTGATGTTTATACAAACATCTCACACATTCCTCAGACTCTCCCCAGAGCTCAGTGATATATGTCTGTAGTAACTCTGGCCATCGACAACAAGATGACAAAGCACCTCTGGGTTAGAAAAGCCTGGATTCATGTGTTTCATCCATCTGTCTGCAGTTTCATTACAGGCCTTTAGAGCAGCATTGGCTCGTACCTCTCATATTTAGTGCTAACCATGCTCCCTCCATAAATGAATCACAGTGGGCTTAGTGGAGAGTTACAGAAGGCGCTGCCTTTGTTTATTTTAACAATAAATGGGCTGGAGAAATAACTTAGCACTTAAGAGCACAGGCCACTCTTCCAGAGAACCTGGGTTCCATTCCCAGCACCCACCTGGAGGCTGTAATTGTAACTGTAACTGGAGCCTGTCACACCTGTAACTCCAGTTCCAGGGGACCAATAGTCTCTTCTGGGTTCTGTGAGCACCATGCACATGGTACACAGACATGCATGCAAGAAAAACACCCAAACACATAAAAATAATTTTTAAAATCTGAAACAATGGGCCTTGTTGAGTCACATGGAAGGAAGTCCAGAATAAGGCAGGCTAAGAGTCAGTTACTGAGAAGCTCAGTTAGACAAACAGGGCTTCATAGCAAGAGCCTGACTCAGAAAACAAAACAAGGCAAGATAGAAACAGTCACAGAATATAGATTTATGAAAGGCCTGTGACCCTTTGAATCATCGGGAAGCAAGTCAACCTGTGAGGCAGCTGAGGGAAGATGTGATTGTTTGCTTTTGAGACAGGGTCTTACGCTGTAGCCCAGGATGGACTGAGACTCATGGTGAGCCTGGTGTCATTGCCTCCTGAGGACAGAAACAGAGACTTTATGATCTCTCTGACCTATAGTGTCACAAAAT